AAGCAGGACCCAGGGGAGTCCCTGAGTTGAGGAGATGGCCCTGAGGGTCCAAGGACACCGAGGAGGTGAGGGGTCAAAGGACAGAGTGCCAAGGAAGAGAAGACAGCGAGAGGACGCTGGAGATCCGCTGAGGGCAGCCCTAAGCCACCCGTGTGCGCACCGGCCTGGAGCGTGGCCGCATCTGAAGCCAAAGGCAGCTTTGCACATGGACGTGTGCCCACTTTTCGGGCCGCGGGGCTAATTTTATCAGCTCCTCAAAGGGGGACCCCGCACGGTTAGATCCGGCTCCTTGAGGACGAGGCTTCTCAGAGCACCGAGGGCTCACGGAGGGGGCAGGACAGTGGCTGGGCCTGGGGCTCGGTGTGCGGGAGTCCCCAGCCCCACGCCCCGCTGGCTCAGCGTCCCAACCCTGGGAGCCAGGGCCTGCGGTTGGCCTCACGGGGCACAGCTGAGCACAGGCTCCCCAGGCTGGTGACAACGTGGCTGCGGGGAGCTCTGAAACGTTAGTATAGGGAACACCAGGAAAAGGCAGAGCTCCGGCTACAAAGCCGGGTGGGGCTCGAAGCCGTGCGTCCTCACTTGTAACCTTGGGGGTGTCCCTGAGGAAGAGTTCTGCCACTTGGTAGACCCCCAAGTCCCCAAGCCCAGACCCAGCCGGCCTCCTGCGGAGCACAGACCATCTCTTCCACCTACACTGAGTGGCCCGACAGGGTCCCCTTCCTCGGGACCAGGCCCCCACCTACTACCTGGATGGGCTTGGCGGCGACAGAGCTCCCTGCCAGCCATGGGCCGGTCAGGCCTCGCAGGAACCGCGGGCGGTAGGAAGGACAGGAGCCATCCGTCCACCGAAAAGACGAGGAGGCTAAGATCCCCAAGTCACTCGCTGGAAAGTGAGGCCAAGACGGGAGTCCAGGCCTCCGCCCTCCGAGCGGGCCTCTCCCAGTCCCCCAGCTCCCAGCTCTTGCTGCGGAGAGAAGCTGATCAGCCTCGTCAGGGAGCCTGGCTCCTTACTACTCCAAGTTCTCCAAGGAAGAGGGAGGGAGTGGTGTGGATAGCAGGACCCAGACCCCCAGCGGCTCCCCGCCCCTCATTTGAGCTCGCACGGGACTTGGCTCATTCCTGTCACATCTGTCTTTTATCCCTCCAGGGCCCCCTTGCCCATAAGGCCGTGTTATTTTTATTTTCCACTCAGATCCTCTCCTGTCAGATTCGTAGGAAACTCAGCCCTTCCCTCTGCGGTTCCTCATCTTTCCCTACAAATTGTCCTAAATCTCTTGGGGCTTAGCGAGCCCAGATGGGGATCTTTCCAGCTGCAGCTCCCCAGGGGCTGATCCAGGAAGTCCTAACAGTTGTTGCTGCTGCTGTGATCTCACTGCCCAGTGGTGTGACTGTTGACCCCTGGCCACAGGCCCCCTGACACTGGCAGAAGCTTGGGTTTTGGAAGGGCAGCCCTGGGCCCTTGGTGCCACAAGAAACCACACACACTTTCAGCCTCCCGTGTGGCCACACCCCAGACACTGACCGGCTCCGCGGGGTGCCCATGGGATGGCCGCCTCCCGGAGACTTAAAATAAGTGTCACCTTTCCTTCCTGGGGTCCACACCCCACAGAAAAGGCAGCTTTTGCTTTCCAACTCTGAACACTGACGACTTCACCACAGAAAGTAGAGCCTCGCGCACCTGTTACTGTTGGATTAGTCCTCAGGGGTCCATATGCCCCCGTGGCGAAGGGCTGATTCCACGCCGCCTTCTTCCTAGCAGAGGACACGGGCCTTCAGAGCCTCTGATGTGGTTTATCCTCTCCCTGGCACCCAGGAAAGGTTTCTTCCTGGCTAATTATCGCCAGAGCAGCAGGACCACCACCCCCATGGCTTAGACCTCCGTGGGGAGCTATGGCTACTCTTCTCTGACAGCCTTTCCCCTCTCCAGATGGAATACATGTCTACAGGTGTGCCGGTCCCTGGGGACAGCGTGGCCTCCCTGGCGGAGACCAGATCTCACGCCTGAACCAGGCATCTGGCGGAGGCGGGGAGGCTCACAGCCGTGGGAGTCAGGAGATGGAGGTGCAGAGGCTCTGGGGAGCTTCCCTGGGGGGCAGCACAGCTCACGATGGGCAGCCCAGTGGAAAGTGGTTCTAAGACTTTCAACCATCAAGGGGCGCCTGGGTGGTTCAGCCAGTAAAGCATCTGACTCTTGATTTCGGCTCAGGTCAGGATCTCAGGGTCGTGAGGTTGAGGCCTGCGTCAGGCTCCATGCTCAGCGGGGAATCTGCTTGAGATTCTCTCCCTCTGCCCCTCCTCTCTCCCTCCCTCTTTCTCTCTCAAATAAATAAAATCTTAAAAAAAAAAAAAAAAAGACGATGACTTTGGCCCATCTCAGGAAAGCTCATCTCACAGTGAGGAGGAGGGTGGCTGGATGAGGCTGGGAGCCCGGGGGCCGGAGAGGAGTGGCTTGGGAACCCCAGTGGCAGAAGGAGGTGACGGTATGGCTCTGCTTCTGCCCCAGGGAAACGGCCACGATGTTTCTCAGAGACAGGAACGGAGTGTGTTTCCTGGATTCCTGGCCCTCTGCAACCTCTCAGTGGAGCGCGCCCACCACAGAAACCGGGAGACTCACTTGTGTTCAGACGTCCCAGACCTCGACACGTGTCGTTGTCACTTTCGACCCTGAAGCCTTTCTCTTCCTCCTAGTGGAGCCGCCTCCCTCCCCATCTGTGAACAAGACCCACATTCAGCTCTGGAGCCAGAGCAGGGCACTGGGGCCCCAGGGGCGCGCGGAGCTGCTCCGGGAAGGGCTGGAGCAGCGAGTGGCCACCACAGGCCTTCAGACCCCATGTAGGACCCCGGGCCTTCCCCGCCGCCCCCTGGGCCAGCACCGCACAGGGCCTACTTGGCCACCTTCCACCTCACAGCTGGGGCACATGGTTTATTCGGCTGGCCACTGTCCAGAAGATACTTTCCCGAATTCAGGGAATTAAAAAAAAAAAAAAAAGACCTGCGAACAACTGCTTTGCTTTGATGACGGGCTCTCACTTTGACACTGACACAGACCGTAGTAGCCCCAGGGGGATGCCTTCTTCTTCTGAACACTTTCATCTCATGAACGGTTGTGTGAGGTTTCCACTGGAAAATGCAGGAAGCTGGCCGAATATGTTCCATTTTAACAAAATAATGATGTAAAACTGTAAACATTTTACATCACGAGATTCAAGGCCTAATGTGTCTGGTGGTGAGAAAGAAAATATTAACCACTTTTAAGAGAAATATCTGTATCATTAAAATAGAAATGGCTTTCATCTTTGATCAAAAGAAATGATTTGGGCTTGCATGGGGAGGAGCTCTGGCTGTGGGGGGGACTTGGGGCTGTTGGAAGGCCCCACGCACCGTCCTCTGGCTCGGCAGTACGAATCTCCCAGCGATGGAACATCTGACCAAAGGCTGTCTTGCCAAGTAATAAAAGTCGATGGAAACACCCGTTTGCCTGTGATGGCAGCAGGCCTGTGGGTCTGGGGACAGTGCCAAGGGGCCCTGCATCTGTGCCTGAGAAGATCTCATGTCTTGCCGGCGACACCAGGGAGGCTGCCGGAGTTGGTGGGAACTGTGACAAGTTGAGACCTCTTCTGGCTTTGGCAAAAGCTAACGTCGCACCCACGTGCCTCTTTGTTCTGTCACCCTCCCAGCTGCTCCTGAGGGACCTGCCACCTGGACCCAGAACGCACACCAGCCAGAGCCTTCTTCCAAGGCCGGCCATGCCTGCGCCCCCGCAGGGGTCCTGCCTTCCGGTCAGCCTCTGGCTCCCCCGGCCCCGTCTTGGATTCCCAGCCATCCCCGGCAAATCAGCTTCCTCATCTGTCAGACAGGGACGTTCTTGGGCTCTCTTGGCCTCACCACGATGACTTTGTGCCTTCTCCAGGTGGGAAGAGAGGAAACCAGTCCCATCAGGCTGGTGAGAGCAGGTGTTCTCAGGACCTCCTCCAGGTGGGGCTGGGGTTCTCCCTCCACCCCTCACCCCCAGCTGCAGAGGCAGCTCTGTGCCCCCACGGGGTGGCAGGACAGCAGAGATCGAGGAATCCTGGAATTGCCTGATCCCAGATTGTCGGGGCTGCTATGCCTGGAAGAGCCTCCAGGGGTCAGTTTCTAGAGAGGGAAACTGAGGCCCACGGGGTGAAGTGGCTGCTCACTCGGGATCAGAACTGAGGGCTCCAGCTCGGAGCCCCGCACGCTGCATCCATCACACCTGCCCAGGAGGGGAGCAGGCCTCTATCCAGGGAGCCAGGCGGGCGGTGGCTCTCACAGCCCCAGCGCCGGGAAGGAAGAGTCAGAGAAGTTCTAAAGCTTAGACTCAATCCTTCCTACCCTGAGCGAGGCTGGGGTCCAGGAGCAGGGGTCTCCCCCAGGGACTGGTTAGAAATGCAGACTCTCCGGCCCCGCCCCAGACCCACAGAACCCCAATTCACACATCCACATCTCCAGGCAGCTCGTGTACAGAATCAGGGACGTGTTAGAGGCCCCAAGGGAGCCCGTCCGGGCCCCACTCACTGAGGAGCCCCAGTCCCGGAGCAGAGAGGGCCATTCGACATGGGAAGCATTTCAGGCTCCAGGAGAACCCCGCAGGCAAGCCCTCCCAAGAGACAGAGAGGAGCAGCTGGGAGAGCACCTGCACGTGCACCTGGGGGCAGCACCTGTGCCCGCACCTGGGGGCCGCACCTGCGCCTGCCTTCGCACCTGTGTCTGCGCGGCTGACCACCCCTTGCCAGCAAGCTTGAAGCTGGATCTTTGGAAGAACCAGGAGTAACTGCATGTTGGAGGGGCTCAGCTCCAGCCAGAGCCTGGGCAGGGCAGGGCTGGGGGGCGGGGGTGCAACCCCAGTCTGGTGGGGGTGGGGCAGAGGAGCAGTGTCCGGCTGGCTGGGACAGGGGCCTGCAGGGCTGCTCCGGAGGCCTCAGTGACAATACTCCCGCTCGATGCTGGCCATCAGCTCCTCTTCTGAGTAGTCGTAGGAGATGGCAGAGATGCCCGACTGCCTCTCGGGCCTCCTGTGGCTGCTGTCCGGGGTTCTGGGGGCCAGAAACACAGACAGCGACATCAGGAGACAAGATGTTACCTTCAAACTCATCATCTCTACGATGGCCTACCCATTCGGGGACGTCTGATCCGTGCTAAAACCAAAACCCGAAAACCTTTGCCCTGGGGTTAACTTCTTATTCTTTTACAGGACAAGTCTCTGCTTATTTCTCTTGCTTCATTGCCTATGACCTTGTCCGCCAAGACCTTAGGGACTCTGCCTGGAAGCCAGCCCCTGGAGCGTTTCAGGGTCAGGGCCCGAGTTCAAATCCCAGCTCTGCCACTTACTAGGGCCGCGACCTCGGACAAGGCATTTGTATCTCTGAGCAGGGTTGTTTTTTTCCTCCCCCTCTAAGTGGAGATGTATCTCTAAGTCCATTCTGGAGCATGAGTAAGGTAACATACAGAGAGCACGTGACACCCAGTCCGGCACATGGCATAGCCCTGAGCAAATGTGTGCTGCATTTCAAGATACCTGTTTGCCTGATTTACTCACGGGGCCGGCACCCTCGTTGCAGGGGCGGGGGTGGGGGGTGGTGAATAGAGCTGCTCAGGACAGGACTGGGCATGGCAAAAGTGACCAGAGCCACACCCCTGTTCCTGTTGCCCGGGCTCCAGAAAGTGGTTCCCACCAGCCTGCACCTGGTGGCCCATCCCCTCTCTGACTTTCTGGACATCACAGGGACTTTTGGGTGGTGTACCCTGTACCCCAAACTTCCCTTTCTCTCAGGCTGCTCCCTGCTAGTGTTGCCTGGCACTGGCCTTGGCTTCCCCGGAACCTCCCACAGGTGGGAGGGCGTGGGCACGGTTCAGGCTGCCTCTGGAGGAGAGCTGAGCTCTGCAGCCCAGAGCTGCCTGTCGCCAGTTGGGGGACAGCGAGCCCCCCGCCTGCTCTGTCACGCTAGAGAAGGAGCCCGCACGGCTCTGCCGGTCAGACAGCTGGGGCCACTTCCTCCTGTGAACTCAGGGACCCGGGCTGGGAGATCCTTGGGCAAGTGGGGACAGGAGCCCCCAGAGCCACAAAGCTTCCCCTCCATGCGCCCTCAGCTTCTGTTACCCAATCCTGAGATCTCAGGTCAGGCCAGCCCTGTCCTCAAAGCCTGCTCTACCGGCTCAGCCCTGCCTCTTCCATGTCCCTCTGCAGATGTCAGCAAGGATGATCGGGACTGGGGGGTCAAGGCCCACATGGCCCAGGTTCACATCAAACGTTCTTCCAACAAGTGTCTGGGAGACACCTGACCATGTGCCTGGAACGGTGAGGGACCAGACATGGGTCAGGTGTCCGCGATGCCTTCAAGAGGCAGAGTGAGGCCGGGAGCCAGATGGCCATGTGCGCCTCCTGCCTTACAGGTCACGAGTGTGGAGGCTGGGGGCCCGCAGACAAGGGGACACCCCAGCTTGCCAAGGACGGGGGTGGGGGGCAAGCGTTTGGGGGGAGATAGTTTAACAGGGCTTTGAAGGATTTTTCTCTTCAGCATTTTATTACAAAGACTTCCAAGCATCCAGAAAGTTTGAAATTGTAGATTCAACAAATGAAGTAAATACACTTTTTTTTTTTGAGGGGGGGCTGTATTTACTTTATCACAAATCTCCTTCATCTGATTTCTGGAGGTATTTCAAAGTAAACTGCAGGTGTTAGGACATTTCTCCCAGAAATGCTGCTCTGCCGGGTTCTGACAGCAGAACAGGGGTTGGGGGAGGAGGCCGGGAGGGAAGGGGGCCACTGCCTCTGAGAGCTGTGTGGGGGCCACAGAGGGCCCGCAGGCAGGGGGAGGGGGACGGGGAACCACGGCAGATGTGGGGCGGGATACAGGGGCTCTCCTTAGAGGCCACAGAGCCCAAGTGTGGGGATCAGAGGAAGACCACTCCAGTCCTGAGCCTGAGGAGGGCCAGCCTCCCTCGGAGCTTGCCTCCATGGCCCTCTCCTCCTCCCCGGGCAGCAGGGTTGACGGAGCCTGGCCGAGACTCCCACGAAAGCAGGTGAGGGAGGGAGGGAGGAGTGGACCCCGGTGAGGGTGGTGGCCTCCTGGAGTGTGCAGGGAGCGAAGGGGCCCCCTCGGTTAAGAGGCAGAAGAAAGAGCTAATTGATTCCAGGTAGAATTTAACCCTTCTAAACTCCTCAGGTTGGCAAAAGCAGGAAAAGTCACACTAATTCTCTTTAAAATCAGTGGAAACATTCAGCCAGCATGGAGCTGGGGCCCACAGGCAGGCGTGTCCCCAGGTCCCCAGCACGGAGCCGCAGGCACGGGCGTTTGGGTCAGCCCAGCAGCGCCGGCCGGGGCCCCTGGCGCAACTACTGCAGAGGGACCCCGTGTCCCCCTTGTACCCGAGACCACCCCCAGATGCCGAGTGCCAAGCCCATCCCCGGTCCATACAAGGAGGGGAGGAGGGTCTGAGGGAGGACCAGGGCTCTCCACCGTGCTGACCAGGGCTCTGGGCCCAGACCACGGGTGCGGGCGGGTGCAAGCGTTCCCACTTCCCGGGGTCCCAGCCTGCTCGCACTTGAGAGCGGTGGCCAGAGCCACGGCTTAATACCTGCCGCCCTCTCTACCTGGGGGAGCTTCCGGCTCTCGTGACCTCCCGGCCCCTGTGCTAACCGCCACCTGCCGGCACCCAGCGTCCTCAGCTGGAGATGCTGTCCAGGTGCTCCCTCCTCTTGCCTCCTCTGCGACCCCCCACACGGCCTTCCAACCAGCTGAATCATCACCAGCTCCTCCGGGAGCCCTCAGGCCTCTCCCGTTCCCTCTCTGAGCTCCCAGGAGCCACTGCCTGCGCCTGTGAACAGCCCGAGCTGCTCAGGGAAGGACCCCCGCAAACGTGTGGTCGCTAAGGGAAACCAGCCAGCTTCTTGCCCTGCAGCCATTGGGAACTGGTCATAAAACAGCTGTTACACCAGAAGTTTTATACCCGTTCACATCTTCATACCAGAGTCACGCCCGTCCCGGGGACAGGGTAGATCACTGTGATCCCTTCAGCGGTGAGGAACCCAGGAGGATGCGGTGAGGGAGAACAGGCCAAGGGCCCAAGGTCACCCCAGCCGAGCCTCATGCTGGGCTGCTCTTGATGCCCTGAAGCCCTCACGCGGCCCGGAGCCATGCGGGATGGCCCTCAGCAGAGGAGGTCTGGTCTCTGGGCCCAGGTCCTTATCTGACTCTTCCCAGGGGTTTTAAAAGCATTTTCCTGATAAAATTGTAACAGGATTAAAGGGGCCCCATCTGCCATCCCTCTGGGCTGTAAACCCTGGAAGGATCGTCGGCAGACGTCCCCCAGCACACAGTTTCTGCGTGAATGAGGGAGATCGGGAAGGCCCTCGATGATCTGGGTCAGAGCCTCTCTCTGGGGGAAGGTCACGGCGGCCGTGAGACTGGAGGGCTTCTGCATGTTTCCACGGATGGGACCTTCCCTGGCCGGGACTGTCCCTGGAAGGAGGGAGCCGCATCGGGCAGGGGAGCTGGGACCTGGGACCTGGGGGCCACACAAGAAGCTGTGGCCTCGGGTGGAGGGAATGCGCTCGCCCCAGCCTCGCACTCACCTGGAGACTCCGGCGTTCTCTGGGTGCTCATCAGTGCTCTGCTTTGAGGACACCTTGAGAAGGACAAAAGGAAGAAGCGTCAAAAGTTTGTCAGGGGTGCGGCCCACCTGGGTCCTGGATTTCTGCCGGCAGTGGACGGCCACCGCGGTCCTAGTAAAACCACAGCCGGAAAGGCTCCCTCTGGCTTTCTGGTTCTGTCTGCTTCCTTCACAGGTGGGAAAGCTGAGGCTGCGGCAGCGGGTCACTTGACGAAGTTCACAGAAGCAACTCCCTGCCTTGTGGAGAGAGGGTGACCCGACCGCACCCCCCTATCTCTCACCTCTAGGCCTTCCCCTCGCCTCCACAAAGCTCTCTCTGTCCCCAGACAAGGGTGTGGAGACGGAGCACACGTCCGTCTGTGGGCTTTTCCAGCGGTTGGTGCCGAGCCCTGGGCCCGCACAGCCTGTCCCGGGGACCACAGCTTTACAATGAACCTTGACATCTGGTAAAGCAGGTCCTCCCACCCCACCTTTTTTTTTTTTTTTTTTTTTAAGAATCTTGAATACTCTCTGTTTTTGCCTTCCCCCATATTTGAATTGGCCTATTCCATGGGAAACAAAAACCTTGGGGATTTTGTTGGGGTGATATTAAGCCACAGAACATTTGGGGGGAGGAATTGATATCTTTATAATAATCCGCCTTTTGATTTATGAACTGGAACTGTTTCCCCTTCATTCAGGCCTTTAATGTCCTTTTTTTTTTTTTTTTTACGTCTTTTTTTATTTATTTATTTGAGAGAGAGACAGAGAGACAGTGAAGGGGGGTTGGGGCAGAGGGAGGGGGAGAAGCAGACTCTCTGCTGAGCAGGGAGCCTGACATGGGGCTTGATCCCAGGACCCTGAGATCATGACCTGAGCCGAAGGCAGATGCTTAACTGACTGAGCCGCCCAGGAGCCCCGGATGTCTCTTTTTAGACCAGTTCCTAGAAACTTGTATTTGTAATGCTATTATCACTGTCATCTTTTTAAAATATTTATTTTATTTTTTTAGCGATTTTATTTACTTATTTGAGAGAGAGAGGGGGAAAGAGAGAAGCAGACTCCCCGTTGAGCAGGGATCCCAATGCAGAGCTCGATCCCAGGACCCCAGGATCATGACCTGAGCCAAAGGCAGACGTGTGATTGACGGAGCCACCTAGACACCACAACATAAACTTTTTAAATAAAGTTTTATATCTCTTGTTGTTACAGAAATATGACTGAAATATATATATTTGGGGGGTTGGTGAATTTACCAACTCTTGTATTAGCCCTAATAATTTATTTATAGATTCTTTTTGTATTATTTTTATTCTCATTCACATTCTCTGAGAATAACAGCCATTTGATTTCCCCCTAGGCTTTCCGCACTTCTGGTGCTACATGAAAAGAAATGATGATAACAGACTTCTTTGTCTTGCTCCCTTATTGAAAGGGAAAGTTTCTATTGTTTCATAGCTTAATGTCTACTGTGGGTTTTTTCCTCAAGCATCCTGGATCGGAGCCTCGTCTGGGTGCGATGGGCTGGTCATTTCTCCAGCTCTGTCTTCCAATGTGCTGATCTCTTCATCTTCCTCTAATCTCCTGCTAACCCACACCATTAGGATCTTTGACTTTATTTATTCTAGTTTCCATTTCTACAAGTAGTTGTGTTTGGTTCTTTTTCAAATATATCATGTCATTTTCTCTAGGCCCTTGTGCTTTGCAGGTATTTTCTTTAAACATAATAAACATAAATCGACTATAATCTGCTCCTGCAATCCAAACAACTGAAGTGTTCACTGATCTATTTTGGAGGGGGGAGGGGCAGAAGGAGAGGGCGAGGGAGGCCCTCAAGCAGATTCCCCACTGATCGTGAAGCCTGACGCAGGGCTCAATCCCAGGACCCTGAGATCATGACCTGAGCTGAAATTGAAAGTTGGACGCTTAACCAACTGAGCCACCCAAGTGCCCCTTCACTCGTCTGTTTTTGTTAACTATTTTTTCTTCTGGTTTTTACTGGGTTCCGTCCATAGTTGGTTATTTCCTGTTGTGTGCTGCTCATTGTCCTTGGAAATGTCTTTGCGAGTATTCCTCAAGGCCCAAGAGGAAGATGACTTTTTTTCCAGGTACCTCGGTGGCATTTCTAGTCTGGGACCACTTGAAATTAAATCTATGCATTCAGGCCTGGTAGAGGGACCTTCCTTATTCTGCAGACAATGGGGAGTTTTAAAGGTTTTGGTTTTTTTTCCTTTTCATAGTGGAAGAATTGCCTTCCCTCATTCCATGATCCTACACAGCCAATAGAGAGAACTGCACTTTTCCCCCATTGGAAGCTGCTTATATCCCCTCCAAATTCTGTTTTAAAGCCCTCCTCCATTCTCTGACTCAGAGATGTAATCACATGGGTCAATCACTCACCAGCCCTTCACCCAGCACCCCAGCACACCCAGTGCTCCATCAGCAGCCGCCCAGACATGCACTCTGCACTCGAGGTGCCGGAAATATCACTGGAAAAGTTTTATTTATTTATTTATTTATTTTTAAAGATTTTATTTATTTATTTGACAGAGAGAAATCACAAGTAGACAGAGAGGCAGGCAGAGAGAGAGAGGAGGAAGCAGGCTCCCTGCCAAGCAGAGAGCCCGATGTGGGGCTCGATCCCAGGACCCTGGATCATGACCTGAGCCAAAGGCAGAGGCTTTAACCCACTGAGCCACCCAGGTGCCCGGAGAAGTAAGTTTTAAACACACCAAACAGTTAGCCAGATGTGTAAGAGCACAGTGCTGGGGGGTGGATGTTGCTATAAAATGCGCGATTGGAGAAGGTGGGCACTATGGTAGTCAGAAGCATGAGTTTTGAAAGAGAGTTAGCCTAAACCCTGGCCTACCAGCTCTGTGGTTCGGGGTGGTTGTCTTGACCTTTCTAAGCAGTGGTTTCCTCGTGTGCAAAGCAAGTTTACTGGGAGATACTTTAAAGTCATTCCAAAGTGCCTGGCACCTAGTAAGTTCTCGGTAAACACTGGCTGTTGCCATTTCTATTATCATTGGACAGATGCTGCATACCATGCTGTCTACTAGTTATTAACCCATTAGTATTAGTTAGTCCTCTCCAGCAAGAGTACCACTTCTCCCAAGCTTACAGCTCTCCAAGCTGAGCACAGGACAAACACGGGGTATTTTCCGAATTAAGTCGAATGTCAAGTTGCTGGGTTGTTATAATCTTGAGTTTAAAGTCTATATAGCAGTTGGCATAGTAGAGTAAAAACAGCATAATAGAGAAAAGGGCTCAAATCCCAGTTGTGTCATTTAATAATGATATGCCTTTGGGTGGATTGTGAGGCTCTCTGAGCCTCAGTTTACCCATCTGCATAATGGTATCTTGGCCCTCAGGACTGCTGTGAGATGAGAGATTATCCATCCGGCTCATCCTTAGCATAACAGCGATCCTACAGGTGACCAAGAAACATCACTTGAACCATGTGAACCAACGTCCAATCTAAGGTAACCTCTGAAGAAGTCCCACAGGCAGGTGACCAGAGAGCGTGATGAGGTCAGTTGAGGGGACTTGGTCTTGGTCTTCGAGGCATAACCAGAGGTCCCTGTACAATACACTCTTCCCTGAGAAATTAGCTCTGATGTGTTTCTTGGGAAACATTAGTGATGGGAAGTGGAAGCAAGCACACACTGGGTGTGTCCTGCCGGTGCCAGCCCCGTGGCTTCCGGTAAAGGTTGTTCTTGCCTGCCCAACACGGCAAGTGGAGGCTGGCCCAGAGCAATGGTGCACAGCCCAGTCCCAGCAGTACCGCCAAGAGCTGACCGTGACCACTGGTGGCTGGCGACCTTGCCATGGGGAACTTACTATCATGGCGCATTTCTTTGAACACTCATTCTTGCCTTTGGGGAGTATAAAGATGAAGAGGAGATGACTTCCAAGTCAGCAAGGAATTCACAGTCGGAAGAGAGACAGAGAGTAGGGATGGAGTGAAGAAAGAAGACAGGAAGTAACACACACACACACACACACACACACACACACACACACACACCCACACTGCCTCTTGAAGCCACCCATCCCATCTCAGAGCAGCTCAGACTATCTGAATGTTCTTTTTTTTGTTCTGTTCTGTTTTAAGTAGGCTCTACACTGGGCATGGAGCTCAATGCAGGGCTTGAACTCATGACTCTGAGACTGACACCGGAGCAGAGATCAAGAGTTGGGCGCTTAATCAAGTGAGCCACCCAGGCGTCCCTGAATGTTCTTTTTAATTAAAAACAAAATTCCGTGATAAAATGCACATAGCCTAAAATTCACCATCTTAACCATTTTGAAGTGTATATTCCAGTATTTTTTTTAAGATTTTATTCACTTATTTGACAGACAGGGATCACAGGTAGGCAGAGAGGAAGGCAGAGAAAGAGGCAGAAGCAGGCTCCCTGCTGAGCAGAGAGCCTGATGCGGGGCTAGATCCCAGGACCCTGGGATCATGACCTGAGCTGAAGGCAGAGGCTTTAACCTGCTGAGCCACCCAGGCACCGCAAAGACTTTATGTATATTCCAGGATTAAGTACATTCATATTGTTGTGCAACCAATCTCAAGAGCTCTTTCCATCTTGCAAAGCAGAAACTCTGTCCCCATTAAACAGCTCCCCGTCCTGTGCATCCCCCACCCCAAGCTCCCTCCTACTGGCTCTATGAGTCTAACCACCTTGTCTAAGTGGAAACCTAGAGCATTTGTCCTCTCGCGTCTGGCTGATCTCAGCTGACGCGTCTTTGGGGTTCATGCACGTTGGAGCAGGTGTTAGGATGTCCCTCCCTTTTAAGGCTGGTTAATAC